TACTTTCAGACCTCAATCTAGGTAGGGTTCTTGTCGATCAGGTATTCCACATACTTTAATTTGGGGAAGAAGCTCATCTTAAAATATTGTTTGCAGTCCAGCCAAGTTCCTGTGTTCTTTCAGGAAGACTCTGATGAAACTCCCAGAGCACTCGCTGCAAGAGATAAATGTACTTGGCATATAGAGGTTGTCTTGTGATCTCTGATCCAAGTTTCTGGTACATTTGAAAAGGGTTTTGATTGCAGAGAGTCTGGTGTTGTTTACCTGCATATCTCAAGAACCTGTTTATTTCCTCTGTGACCGAGTTTGAATTCAGTGTTATCTTTATTGAGCATTTTGCCCAAATTTATTTTTAACAAGGCAGCCTTTGGAGTCAGTGTGCTGCATGGAGGGTACTTAAGAAGGCGTAATCCCCTGGTGTCTGCTCACACTAACCATAGTTGTTGGTAAAGAGCTGTTGTTGCTCTATTTAATATCTGATCTGTCCTCTTTTGGGGAAACTATTCTGGATAGATGCGTGGATAGATTCTGTATGCAAAGAGTCCATATACCAGCTCAAATCTCCTAGACAGAAAGGTAATATGAGTAAGTCAGCTGGCTATAGCATCTCTCTAACTGTATTCAAATTCAGTTGTGCAGATTTGAGAGGTAGCTCTGAGGCCAGTGGGTCCTTGCAAAAGAGCTGGGAACTTTTAATGCCCTGAACAAAGAATGTATTCACTTTCCCTAGAGAATGACTGATAATGTATAAACTCAATGGCATTTTCCTTGTCAGATAGATCTGTAAAATTTTGCAAGATTAGTCTCTATGAGGGCTGCAGAAATGCATCCTTTGTCACCTCAGGCACTGATCCAGGTTATGACCTACATGCATTTATCACACTTAATTGAATCCAATATAAAAGTTTTTTCCTCCCCAAACAACATGCAGTGGAAAAAGCCTTGGAGGCTCTGAAGACCCGGCTAGACCAAGCCTTGTCTGGGATGCTGTAGTTGGGGCTGGTCCTGCTTGGAGCAGGGATTGGGCTAGAAGTGACCTCCTGAGGTCCCTTCCAACCCTCATTTTCTAGGATACTGTGAAAGGAGTTAGAGGCTAAGGTAATGCATGCTTCCTGGTGTACCAGGGGAATTAAAAAAGGGGACTCAAAGATATTTTCTCAGGCTTGCAACATGCAGTCGACTTGCGTGCATTCATTCCAGCTCCCATTGTGAAGCTCCTACAGCTTGGCTCTGGACGAGATGCCGCTGTTCTTTGCAGGAAGGCAAAGCTGTATCCAGCAGCCCACGCTAGTCCTGTTCTTCCGAACGTCAGAGTTAAAACTGAACGTCACATTCATTTTCTTAATTGTTAACAATGAATCCGTGATACACAGCCCTTTTTCATTTGGAAATATTAGCGTGCATGCCCTTTCTGCATGTTCAGCGCCTTAAGCAAAGAACCACCATTTGCGAATTGTTAATAATGTTGATGGCATTCGATTATGGTGGCATTTCAGTGGGTAGTATCTGGTTGCAGCTCTTCTCTGCAGTGTCACATTTGCTTGGAAACTGTTGCATCAAGAAAAGCATCTTTCTCAAACAAATATTTTTCTCTCAGTCCAGCCCAGGTTTCTCACGCTGGAGCCATAGTCTGTGTGCTTCGGGTTCATTTTTTGGATGCCCGCTACTCTGCTCATATGCATGCTCATCCACTGGTATGGATAGGGGAGTCCAGCTCAAGGAGTAGCAAAGGAGGCTCCGGAGGGGCGTCTGTCAGCGCAGTATCTAGAGATAACACGTAGGTCCGTGCAGTTTGGATGGAGGTGATTCATGCGGCATCTCCTGGGTGTGAGGAGAATCTTTGCCAGGGCAGGCGGCTGCATCTATCCGTCTGTCATTTTTTTTAGTACCTGTCACCTTAGTATCTAAGCGCTTCCCATGTAAAATAGGGTGTATGTCAAGGTCTCTAGCGGACTTCATTTATCTTCTGCTGCTCTCTTCTGTGCAGGAGAAAAGGCTGTGCTTGGGATACACAAATGTACGGGACGTGTGTGAAAAGGGTGAGCTCAGAGAGTCTCGGAGCAGCTGCTGGGTGATCCTGCTTGCTGCCTTTTCAGAGCATCCTCAGGTTATTGGGGCGGACTGGTACCCCTGCACATCCCAGACTTTGCCTCGCAGCCAGCATCTTCCACTGGGAGTGCTCTCTTCCCCACTGGACAGATCATGCATAGTTTTGCTAAAAGGTTTTGTATGGGATGGTTTGGATAGAGAAAATCATGCCTCGGGCAAGGGGCTGGACCAGAAGATCTCAGAGGTCCAGTGGTGCAGCCCTACTTCTGTGTACCCTTCCCTTGCTTCTTGAAGTGTATACAGGACCTCAGTGCATCATCCTAGCGACCAAGCAGCTGAGGCAGAAACTAAACTGTGGTCACTTAACCCTCTTTCACTGAGGGCCAGGCTGCTGCAGTGCAGCTCTCACTTACTGTGGGGTGAGAGCACGCACAAGGGTAGCTGCAATGGGGCAGCTCAGCCCCCTTTCACTGCAGGGGAAATCATTTGTATGCCCGGGCCATCAGCCTTCTCTGCCCTGCACCTGCTTTTAAAATACTTCCCTTTTGCAATTGGAAAAGGGCACAGTGTTACCTCCATATTTTCAGTGCACCTTCAGAAATGGTAGAGAGATGGAGAGCTGCAGATAGGGATGGGCACTTCTCTCTTATCCAGAGCAACTCTGGATGTGACCGCTCTGAATGTCGGTGTGCATCACTGTGCATATCTCAACAAGAGTTACTGTAAAGGCTAAGCATCTTTGCCCTAGAGACCTCAATATAAATATCCTGTTCTTGCAATGTAATTAAGGGATTCAGATTGAGAAATGTTTATAATTGCAGGTTGTAAAACCCACTATTGTGCATCTGGACACAAATGATGCAAGTGACTGGCCTTCTTAAAAAAACAGTAGGCTCTTAAAACAAAAAAATGCAATTAATCTTCGGATTATCTTCTATATTAATGATCATATTATAATCCAATTATGCGTATTTTAATTTTAATCTTTGGAATTTATTAATGAAAAGTTACAAAACTGCTTGTAGCAATGAAAATTTGGACAGCATACATCATGCCTTTCTGTAACTGTGTATTAGCAAAGCTACTTTTTTTTTCCCCAGGAAATGTTCTCTTTTCCAGTTGACTGTGACTTTCCAAATGCTTAAAAAAATCTGCCTAATTGATAACCAAAATTTAATCATAGTAGGATACTTTCAGTTTGCATTCCAATAAGGTATTTCTTTGTCTAAATAAGCTTCCCTTGGTTGATTATTCATATTGTAGTTCAAAATGTTTAAAAATGAAAGACAGAGTTGGATGAAATGTAGACTACTTAATACAGTGTGTATTTAATATAAAAGTCATGCATTATTCATTTTTGCAATTTGAATAACTTTGAATTTAGCATCCCTGTTCTTCATCTTTTCCTTTGATGAACAATTAATTATTAAAATATAATATTGTCAGCATATGGCACAGAAATCCTTGAAAGTAGAATATAAGCTTCATTCTTCTGTCATCATTTGATAAAGGGATGTGCCATACTTGTATGTTGTTTTATGTCATGCATTTGTCCAGCATTTTAATGTTTCTCATGGATTCAAGTAAAAGGCTACAGGAGTGAAACATTCATATTGTTAATTGCAACTCATTTTTTTTAAATCCCAGTGTGGGTGAATATTAGTGGCTAGATATTTAAAACATGCATACATGTTCCATCTAACTTCCATGTACAGATACTAGCTGTGAAGGCAGATTAGGTATTTATATGTTCAAATGGACTGTAAGATTCATAACTGTTGATTTGCATGCGCAAATATTTATGCAAGCAATTTAATGAACACAATAAGCACCATCAGGCATGCTTTTTGAAAACTGCCTTTTTTTTTTTTTTTTTGAAGATTTCTTGTTGCTTTAAATATATATACGAGCTGTATTTTAAAATCAGATGCTCAAAATGAACCTGCATGTTGCGTGACCAGATTTTCATATGAAAAAAAAATGAGCAAGTGGAAATTGAATTAGAGCTTAAATTGCATTGAAATTTGGCTGTGGAAAAAAAGAGGTACCACAGTGGTTCTAAGTGTCTGATTAGGGCTTCTTTGAAATTTTGGCCAATAATGTATGCTTAACTAGAGCGTAAGCTTAATGACCACATTTTTTTTATTCTAAAGGGATGACACTTGCATGGGTTAAAAGGCCAAAAACATGGTTTGCTTTTTGTCTTATCTGTTTGCTCTGGGAGGGGAAACCATCTGGGAAGGGAAAGCTGACAGTTCTTTTAACATACATATTTTGACATTAATAGATTTATTAATATTTTGGACCTCTGTAGGTTTCGGAGACATTGCACACCTGTTGTGGTTATGCAGCAGAATCTGAGATGCCTAAAATAATCACATATTTGCCTTTTCCATTAGCAGCGCAGGAAAAAAGCGTGGTTACAGGAAAGCTGCACGTGGATACCGATTATAGTACCTTTTGTGGGGTTTAGTAAAACTGAATACTGCAGTCTTAGGTCTTGCTTCTTGGGGTTCTCACTTCTCCTAAAATCTCTATGTAAACCCACCCCCATGTCCTTTGGCTCCTTAGGGTGGACTAGGCTTTGAGAAACTTCACCATTAGGTATGGGGGAATCCGCTTGCCCATCAGATCTGCTGAGATTGGGCAAGAAACAAGGCAGGCCAGCCCTCATATGAACTCTGTATATATTTCTGGAGGAGGGAGGAAGAAAGATGCTTCTTGTATGGTAGAAGTTTCATGGTCAAGATAGCTTCCAGGCATAAAGCAGTATTGAGCCCCTTCCTGGCACCATGTCGTAGGCAGCGCAGATCATCCAAACTGCAGAGATTACATGCTAAGGAAGGGTAGGGCTGTGGCCATGATTGTATGGAAAGTTCTCTGTCCATGTCCTACCAGTTTTAAAGTCATGTAAAAATAAGTCCATTTTTCTTTGTCAATTTTTCCAACAGAGAAGGAGACCTTTCTGGATCCCTTTGTGCTGAGAGACCTGCTGCCAGCATCGCTGGGAAGTTACTACCGCTATACAGGCTCTCTGACAACTCCTCCGTGTAGTCAGATTGTGGAGTGGATAGTTTTTCGCAGACCTGTTCCTATTTCTTACCATCAGGTAGGTGTATGCTGCCGTACAGGCTCTTGCTTGATTTGCCCTCGGGGCACTGTTCTGAAAACCTGACATTGTCGTTTGGAGAACAAAAGCCAAAGAGTTCTGCTGACTGAAAGAAATACTGGTGATTTTATCTATCTATCTATCTATCTATCTATCTATCTATCTATCTATCTATCTATCGTTAGATATAGATATTTATCTATCTATCTATCTATCTATCTAGATATAGATATCTATATTTAGATATCTATAGATATATCTATATAGATATAAATATAGATTTTTTTCAATATTGTTTCTGAACAGGAGCCATCAGCCTTAGGAAACAATGCAACGGAAACCCAATTTCCTTCCAATGATTTAGTCTGTATTGTTTGGGTAAGATAAAAATAAGCCATGGTGTAAATATCTGCAGAGAATCCTTCTTTTACTCTTTCAAATTGAAGGTTTTTTTGGGAAGGAAATGAGTAACCTCAGTTTGAGCTAAGTACACTAGGAAAGAAGCGGTTCCTTTCATTTCGCCATCTTTAACTTTTTAAAACAGGGTGAAGCTGCCATTATGTGCTTACAGCACTGATATACAAATCTTTAAAATTAGCACATCACAGCTTTTACTGTAGATCGAGGCAGTGCCTGGAATTTGTATTGAGAATAAAAAAAAAAGGATCCATCTAGTCCAGTGTTTAACAATTAAATACATGTTGATGTTTTAAAACCATTGTTTTACAGATAGATTTTCTGTTGAAATCAATCTTTCCTTTTATTTGCTGGCGTTTTGCTTTAGCTGTTGAAAAGAGACTTTTGCAATAAGCTGTTCCTGAATGACTGAAGCCTCTCAATATTTCTGTCGGATGTATTAGATGCAGTGAAACGCCATCAAGTAATTAGCGGTTTCTTCTTAGTTACAGTAGCGTGTAGTTAGCCAAGCATCATAGCCACGGAGTGCCAGCATCGTTCACCCAGTAAAAAGACTGCCCTGTACCAAAGAGCTTACCTCTAAGACGGTGGTTCCCAACCTCGTTAGACTTGAGGCCCCTCTCGTTTTACCTAGGGCACCTCTCAGAAAATGCCAGCTCTCCGCTGTCATTCATCTTTCAAGTGCAGCAAGATCATAGAGGAAAGAAGGAGGAAAGCCCATGGCAGGCCAGAATGGTTGCGACGCTCTGATGTCCTGTTTGAAATCTACGGATTGATCTTGTGAATCACATTTGCACTCTTAACCGTGCTAACCTTGAGGATCTCAAGGCACCGTGGGGTGCTGCAGCCCCTGGTTGAGAATCGCTGCCTTGGGGATATGACGAGGTGCAGCAAATGGATGAATAGTTCAGGAGGGCAGTGAAGCAGAAGTGAGGAGGAGGAGGAGAGGTGACTTGCTTCTAATTCCTCAAGAGCTCTCATTAGTTCTTCTCGGTGCATGGTTTTGAACAGATGGTTTGTAGAAAGCAAGAGATGGCAGGTCTCTTGGATGCGACAGGCTTACCAGCCTAGGAAGGTGTTGGCTGTATGAATGAACCGCATGAATAAATCATGTCTCCTTTTTTTTGGGAGTTGCTTCAAAGTGCATATAAACCGCAAGAGGCTTTTAACCTCCTTGGAGTTTGTGATACCTGTGGAGTGACGGGGGGTGGACTAGATCAGTGCTTCTCAAAGTGGTGGTCCGGTCCGCGAGCCACCGGTCGCCGGTCCGCAGCGAGTTGCCAGGAAAGAAAGAAATATATTTTCAGAAGCATAACATTGATATGTCGTAGCGCCACGGTTCGTACGTTCCAGCGCTCCAGGTGACGTCCCGTCGTGCGAGGTGAGGAAAGAGAAAGAAACAGCCGGTCGCACATTTGTGTAGCGCTGTTACACACAGTTGCTGCCACCGGCTGAACCGGGCACCGGTCCCTGGCCCGCTGGAAAAAAAATTGCCGGTCCACCACATCAGATAGTTTGAGAAGCACTGGACTAGATGACCCCCGTCCAACCCTAATTTTCTATGACAGGCAGGTCAGCAGCCAGTTCCTTTTCTAAACAGCCCAGGGCTCTGGTCCTTATTCACTTTTGTTCTGCTCTGACCAGGGGTGTGAGTTTCTACCATTGTAGTTAAAATGGTGCAGACAGGTATCATTATAGCTGCCTTATCCCAGGCTATCTCAGCTCTTCCCAGAGAAGAATAGTTGTACCAGCGAAAGCACCTGTATAGCAGCATACTGTGGGATTTTGCTGCTTCACCTATACAAAGACACAGCAGTATGGCTTCTGTGTTTGTAGACAGGCTTACAATAATACAATACCAGGAAACATAGAATAATAGGATTATTTCCCCCAGCAGCTCACGGTAGACATATACTTACAGATGTAGGTGCCATCACAGCCAATACTGTAATTATGATGTGTTCCTTTTATTGAAGCAGTATAGCAGAATCCATTTCCATAGTTTAACTTCCTTTATCGCAAGCTGTATGAAACAGCCCGTGCCCCCACAAGGGGAAAGTGATATTATTTAAGCCTTGTTGCAACTCCAATTAAATCCTTCCTGTTGTGCAATGGATCTGGCTGTAAAATTGACAGTACAAAAAGTGGTCCATTTGTGGAGACTTCTGCATTTTTGCCTTTAATGCTCCATCATTGTCATCTCACCCAATAATTAGCCAACAAAACAGGACACGCCGTGTCACCCCGCAGAATCATTGTGAGGCTAAGTGCATTCAGTGACCCAAAGCATGACATTATCTCTCATAATGCATACCTCGGAGTATCTTATTGTATTTATAATGGATTCAGCTTTTTAATTGCCATTTAGATATCCACCCCTCAGAAAACTGTGCTCATCCAGGTTTTAATAGTATATAATTACATGACTTCGGGTTTTAAAACAGGTTTCCCCTTACCAACAGTGGTGTCCTGTTGGTTCTTTATTCCTTCTTCTGAACCAGATCTCTCACTGTTTTTGAATGGCACGAACACAGCTTCTTCTTTTGCTTCCAGCTCTCTGAGATCAATTAATATCTAATTTGTGGTAGATAATATTTTTAAAATAAAAGTGAAGTTGAAACGATTTATGCATTCTTCAGCATGCAAAAAAAAGAAAAAAGAAAAGTTGAAATTGTCATTGCAGGAGCAGCAGTTAAAAATGCAGCTACACCTCCTCAAGGCAGCCTGGGAGAAGAAAATATTTTAAAAGCTCTCAAGTTTAAAAAATCAATTTGCCATCAAGGAAATATAAGCTTAAAGGCTTAATTTAGAGTGAGCAGTTGGTACCTAAGTCCCTGCTCTTGAGTGGAGTTACACAACTGCTTAGCTTCCAGCGCTACTCATAGCTGCATTGACTTCAACAGGAAATCTCCGGCGCAGCAGTTCCCAATCTGCGGTCCCCATACCAGCAGCATTACGCAGACAGCCTGGCAGTGGTACACGTTAATGCATTGATTATAATTACTCTCTATGACAAAAACATGCTGGTGGTACTTAAGGTTGAACTGAAAAATTTGCTGGTGGTACTTAAGGTTATATCATTTTCAATTGGTGGTGCACAATCCGAGTTTGGGAACCGCTGGTGCATAGATTTGGTAAGGTGCGTCAGTCCCTGCAGATCTCGGGCCTGAGAAGGATTAGCCAAACCAAATGTTTCTCCCTGCCTCCCTCCATAAGAAAACCGAGGTGTCCTATTTAGTTTGTCCCTTTTGGGGAAGGTAGCAAGAAGGCTACTTCTAACTCATCCCTACCTAATGCTTCTCTAGCCTCTCGCAGCTCCAGGAAGGATGCTGCACCTTTCTTGGGCAGTTCGTTCCACTGCCGCCCTGATGCAACAGCAAGGAGCTTCTTCCTGAGGTCTAACCTGTAATGCATCTAATTTTTCCTGCCTACATAGGTCCCATGCCCTGTATGGAGAGCACTGCAGCATCCTCCCCTTGCCTGACTTGAGCAGGGGGCTGTCCTGTTTCCTCCTCACCGTTGGTGCTTGAATATGTTAATAATATACCTGTCCCTTAAAGCAGCAGGGGGAAGAAACAAGCTGAATTGTTGACCCAGGCAGGGAACACATTTGGAGAGCTTTCAAAATTGTGCATGAAAAATGAGAGAGCTGCCTGTCCCTCCTCCTTGCAACCAGAAGTTCCCGCCGGGACCTGAGAAACCTTCCCGGGGAACCTTTCACCAGACATGAGGCATTTCCACGAGCCGTTGTGGTCTCGGGGATTCGGCATTTTAACAAAAGAGCAAAGTATTCCTGAGCAGCTCGGTGGTGTGCATTGGACTAATTGGCCGTCTCCTGTGTTCCCACAAAGGAATGGATCCGTCTGAGCTGTGCTATCCTACCGTTCAGTGTGTGCTGCACGTTCCCATTGATCACGCAACCTCACTTTGCATAAGTCTCCCCAGCTGTAAAGCCAGGCTAGGAATTCAGAGAGTTGGGAAACCGTTTGCAAGAAGAGTTGAGATCTGATAGCCTTTGTACAAAGGGCTGCCTACGTGTTAATTGTTTAGTCTGCTCCTGGGTGCAGAGTTCTTCACTTTCTTAATCCAAAATTGCCAGACTCAGGATTTAACAAATCCCTGCCACACGGTCGCTGGTCAGCTTTGGGCTGCTCCCCATGCTGTAATTCTAATGGTCGTCTCAAATTAGCAGGCCCAGCACACCGCTGCACTCCAGCAGCACTTGCTATTGAAATGAAATGTGTAAAATTGACTCTGTCCAGCCCCGAGGGTCAGGAGAAGTTTTACAGATTTCTGTTTAATAGCGAGTATTGCCAGAGCACAGCAGAACAAGTGCGCTGGACAGCAGCAGAAGAATGGGGGTTTCAATTTTACTGATCTGGAGGGAAATGAAATTATTTTAGTTGGGTGCCCCTGATTCAGCAATGGGTCTGCCGAGCTTTGCCTTTGATTTCTTTTTTTTTTTTTTTTTTCTTTTTTAATCCCAGCTATCAACTGGAGCTATGATGTGGTTGACAATATTTTTTTTTCAGGTCATTAGTTTTGAAACTGTCACATCCTTCTCTGTAGCTCTTAGGGCAAATGCACTTAATGAAAAGAAGAAGTCTCTAGCTTTCCAATCGTGGTCTGTCATTAAGCTATAAGAGCAATTCAAGTTCTCTCTAAATCTTGGGGCCACATCCTGCTCCCGCAGAAATCAATACTATTGACTTCAATGGGAACAGGATTGGCTCTTTTGTATTGCTCTGTGTAGCTCAGCCTTTCTTACAATGATCTGCCTAATTCTAGTTCTGGAACTGGAAGATAACAAGCTATTAGTAAATTCTGCGCTGACCCCAGCAACCTGCAGAACAACCAAGTTAACTGAAAATCTTTTCCATTTAATGTGCCAGTAGTTTTTCTCTAAGAAATTTTGAGACATTATGTGTTTTTTTTGCCTTAACAGAAAATATATGAGACACATAACAACAGCTTATAGGTTAAGGCATTACTTTTAAAAATAGCCCAGATCTGAATGCAGCAGCTATGTCCTCTCCTGGAGAGAATATAAAAAAAAATGTACCTAGCATGATGATGACACATGAGATTAATACAAGGAATATGGCTTAGGTTTTCTCACTTTGTCATGAAGTCGAGGGGAGAGACAGCATGTTCCCGTGCCCAGGAAAATGTGCCAGGACTCGGGGCACCTGGGCTCTATTCTTGGCTCTGCTCCTGCCTGGCTGCTTGATTTTGGGCAAGGCGTTTGATGCTTATGTTTCCCCACTTGTAAAAAAAAAAAAAACAAAAAACCCCAAAAAGGTGGGGGGAGGATGATACTGGCCTTGAGATCCGTCTACAAAACAACTCCGAATAAAGGGCTGCCTTCGAAAGACAGCACAAACGCAGATTGCTTCTTGGGGGAATATTAAAAAGCAGAACGATTGAAGCAAAAATGTGGGGGCGGGGTATCCATTTGCACACATCATATTCTTTAAGACAAGAAAACTAAGAACAAATGTTTTCATGCCCGTTTCAGACTCATAAGGGTTTCTTAAGTGTTTTCTCTATTGCTTGGCAGGATAGACAGCGTGGCTAGATAAGGCTGTTGGCAGTCATTTCAGTGGGCAGCCTGGTTTCCTGTTTGATTTATCAGCCTTGGCATCAACGCTTCCTGCCATTTTACATTCTTATCAGACACCCAGATTTCACCACATTGTTTTTCTAATTAATGTTCTTTTTTCTTCCCTGCCATGATCGCTGCGTTCAGCTGGAGGCGTTTTATTCCATATTTACCACGGAGCAGCAAGACCACGTCAAATCCGTGGAGTATTTGAGGAATAACTTCCGGCCACAACAAAGTCTGAACGGCAGGGTGGTGTCTAAGTCTGCTGTGAAAGATGCTTGGAGCCAAGACATGACAGACATCTTAGAAAACCCACTCGGCACGGAGGCTTCCAAAGGTAGATTAGGATTATAAACTGAATTTGCCAAAGGACAAGGTTTTTTTGTGTCTATTTACCAAGACCTTTCAATTCAGCATTAGTAGAAATATGAGGGATACACTAAAGAAAAACACTAAGATTGGCTGGTGGGTTGTGTCTGCTTGGGCTTTGTCTTTGCATTGCCGTACATTTATGAGTCCTTGAATTAGACTTTTGCACACAATGCACGGCTGGGCCCTGGAACTCCTTGCCACAAGATACCAGGGGAGCAGGAGTTTAGCAGGATTTGAGGGAGGATTGAGAGTCCCTATACAGATGGGCACCCAAAATCTTGCTAAGAACTTTTTTCCAACTACTCGGTCTAATAAAAGAGATCGCATCTATGCAAAGAACCGTGTCTGCCTGCGTCCTTGGGTCAGCACGGCTACACCCAACAGCCCAGTATACAGATGACAAGAATATCTGGATTTGTCGTAGCAAGCACTCATTTGCTTCAGAACATGAAGTAACTCAGTAACGGAGGCTGGAAGAGACTGTCCTTGTGGACAGGTTGTTCTCAGCTTCCTTGCTGGCGTGCGCCGTGTGCCTTCTTGCACAAAGTAGTTTCTGGGGCTTTCTTCCAACAGAGACTTAGACACAGAGCTTGAGGGTCCTTTGGGAAAAGAGACGGTAATAACCTCACCGTCACAACCAGTCCGGGGGGTATTCCAGGCTGTAAGGAGTGCGTCAGAAATCCTGAAAGAGACCTGGAGGTAAAAACAAGAGCAGAAATAGATCTGGGTGTTTGTTTTCTATTATTTTAGTGGATCAGTTGATTTGAAGATCTTGTAGGAGGCCTGATCTATGTTTATTAATCTTTAGCTTCAAGGAGCAATCGCCACTTAAATGATCCTGCTCAGAAGTACAAGAAGGGCTCTATTTATTGGAAAGAAACAATTAAGTGGATTAACTTTGAGGCTGGCACTTTCACCTGGGTGAGCACAGACAGCGTAGCTCGTGAAGGTCGCAAATCATCAAAACAACTGAGCTCTGCAGCCCCAGCCTCCCAGGAGGGCTCTGAGCAGGCAGGACTCTGAGGGCGGTATTATTCTCTGAGTGCGTGCACACACACTTTATACACACACACACACACTTTATACACACGCATACATACACATTGCTTTATATACACACACACTTTATATATAGATCTATAGATATACACACACACATATGTAGAGTTAAATGTATCATTGTAGCTATAACTATATATATACATGCCCACACACACACACACACACACACTCTTATATATATATACACGCACACACGCACCCACCTTATGCGCGCACGCACACGTACAGTTAAGTGTATATATGTACATATAAGTATATACACACATGCACACATACGCACACACACGTGTGAACCTGAAAGGCAGCTCTGAGATGAGGCATTTAAGTCAGAGGTGAGGAGATCGCATTAATCAGAAAACTCGATGCTACAATATGATGTTCTGGTTTGAAAAAATGTTCAGTCGGTCTTTTATCAGCATCCTGTGTCAATATTTATTTCTTCAGCTATGCCCTGGGTGTGTTTTATTTAGCAACGTACTTAGTCAGAAGTCAAGTAGACGGCAGGGTGCATTTGCACCTTCTAGACTAACCAAAGTAAAGATTTTATATGTCTATAAAAGTATATAACACACACACACACACACACACACACATATATATATATATATATATATATATATA